CCTCAGAAACAATCAAAACGGCGCTCAAAATGGCGACCGCAGCGCCTGTGCCTGGGAGCTATAAATAGCTCGAGAGGCTTCAGCCGAGGCCTGCAAAAGCGCTCTCACCCTCGGCGGTTTGGAAAAGCAGCGCTGAGGCAGGGAAGGGAAGGGAAAGGTACAACCTGGGAAAATCCACAGTTCTGTCTTTCTGCTAGAAACCAGAGCCAACCTTCACCACGTCTCTCCCGGGCTAANAGGAATTCTGGGAGTTGAAGTCCACCAGTCCTAAAAGAGCCCAGCTTGCCTGCCCCTGACTTAGTCTCTAATAAAGTGAATTCTCCCCCCCCCCATTGCCGGGAGCTTTGGGCCAGATTCCCAGGGGGTCTCTTACCTTTGCAAAGACCCTCCGTCGTTTCCCTCTTCCCACCACGGCGTCCCCTTCTCTGTCCGGGAGCTGCGCAGGGCGCCTTTGCAACCCCCACGTGACTCCAGACCCCTCAAAATCACCCCTCACGCCCCCCTCCCCAAAACGGGTCAGGGTCCCCCCCCCCGTTGACGCCAAGAAACCTACAGCCGTCTTTTTTCTTTTTTTCTGCAACCCGGATCGACCTGGGAAGGAGAAGCCGAGGGTGCAAATTCCCGGGCGCGGATCCTGAAAAGCCTGGCTCGAAAGCCGCATTCCTGGCTCAGCTTTCCAAGAACCGCAACGCCCGACCCGCGAGGCCCTTTCCAGGACAGGATGAGATAAACCACGGCACGGCCACGGCCGACACGCGACACCCCAAGCGTTCACACAACACGCTAAACTCGGGAGCGGGAGCATTCGTTTGTGGGGAGAGGGGCTTTGCTTTCCGCGGGGGGAGGAAGTCTTGGCATTAACCCAGCCCAGCTGGCGATCTATGGATCGCAATTCCCCTGGGGACCCCCCCACAAACGGGCTAGTTAATAACCAGGACTAGCCGGTTGTGGAAACGCAGCTTGAATGCCTGGTCAATAGCGGAGGAGGCGTCTGTACGCTTTTCTCCCTTTCCCCCTTTAAATTTGCAAAGTAATAGAGCAAGTGCATCGTTGCGCTGGGCTTTCCGAAGATCGAGAGCCCCACTCAGGTCTAGCAGCATGAAAAAGCTGAGCCCCGGGACCGGAGGCGATTCCTGCGGGGAGAGGGACGCCCCCTCCCCACACTCACCGATCTCGCCCAGCAAAGAGCCACCGGCTCTATAAATGCGGACTACTCATCCCAGCAGGCCAGGCAGACAGGAATCCCGGGACACTCCAGGCGCTGCTCGCAAAGGCTGCCGGGAATTGTAGTTCTCCAGACTAACTTCAGGTATGGTGGCTGTGATGATGCTTGCAGATATTTTCCCGTCCTTTGCAACCTTCGCTGCGAGGGTTCCGTCCCCACGTCCCTTTCTTGACACGCAGGATGTTGCAGCTCGGTGCTTGAATTCATGGCATCACAATTGTCTGGAGGGAGGGGTTGCTTCCTGACGGCCCCCCCCCGTCACCCCAAACTCTGAAAACCATCACGGGATTTCCTTGAGCATCCCAATCAGGCACCCAAAAATTTGCCTTTTGCGCTTTCTTAGACTTCTGCCTTTTTTCAGGGGTTCCACACGTGGGCCGACCTGTAATGGGTGCTGGTGGGCTTTGATTTGTCTCTTGTTATGCGTTTAATGGTAATATTTATTTCTTTGTACAATGCATTTTTATTTATTGGCAACATTGATTTATTCATTTGCAAAATCTATGAGTTAGCCCATTTTACAAATAAATATTACCCATATATACATTTTGGAAATAATTAAACTTCACAAACAAATGCATACATTTTACAAATAAAACAATTTTAATACAGGTAGTCCTTGACTAACAACTATTCAAAGTAACAAACGGCACTGGAAAATGCCGTTTTTCACACTTGCGACCGTTGTAGCCTCTCCAGTGTCACGGGATCAAAATTCACATGCTTGTCAACCGATTCATCTTTACGACGGTTGCAGTATCCCCGGCCGGGGTCACGTGATCACCGTTTGCGACCTTCTGACCAGGAAAATCAATGGGGAAGCTAGATCCCCTTAACAATGGTGCCACTAACTTAACCACCGCAGCGATTCATTTAACAATTGTGGCAAGGGTGGGCGTAAAATGGGGCAAACTCCACTTAACAAGGCTGCGGAGTACATCTAGACCAAGATGCAAAACAGAGCTAGCCCATCAGGCTTCGGTAAGTTATTGCTTCATCTCTCCAACGTAGAGGTGATCAACCACACACATACCAGTGGGTGCTAAAGCTTTTTACCAACACACTCAAAGCAACCGCCGAGCCGGCAAGGAGACCACTAGGTAATCCGCTTCCAGCCACGGTTTTAACATTTCTATTTACAGTCGTTTGAGAAAAGTCGCACGTTGTTCCAAACGAGGGTGGCTTCGGAAGAGCACAAGGCGAACTTTGCAGGGTGATGATTGGGGGGGGGGGNGGGGGGGGGGGTTCCTTAGACGGGGGCCGTGGACAGCTCACTGACTGTAGGAGAGGAATTCAACTAATTTCATAGGGATGTGGAGGTGGGGGATCTTTTCCAGGGCTTTTCGGCCGAGAGCGTGACGGAGGCTAAGACGACAAAGCTGAGAGAGCCGCAGGGGGGTTCCTGGAGGGTTGGGGGAAAGAAAAAGGGCATTAAACAACATTCAATGGCAAATACACACCATCTTCTAAAGCGGCAGGGATGTCCGACCTTGGCTGCTTTAAGGCTGGTGGACTTCAACTCCCAGAATTCCCCAGCCAGTCCTTTCCTCTAACCACTGCAATGGCTTACGATCAAAATTCTGGGCCCAATTGTAGTCATTAAGGGAGGACTAGCTGTTTAGAGTTGATAGATAGATGATAGATAGATAGATAGATAGATAGATAGATAGATAGATAGATAGATAGATAGATAGATAGATAGATAGATAGATAGATAGATAGATAGATAGATAGATAGATAGATATGGATGGATGGATGGATGGATGGATGGGCGGGCAGGCAGGGGATAGACAGACATTCAGGCAGACAGACTAGGTAGATCGATAGATGACAGAGAGAGAGATAGACAATGGATGAATACACAGAGGTATGTATGTATGGACAGATAGGTAGGTAAATAGACAAAGACAGATAGACAGAATGGATGGAGAGAATGGATGAATGGAAAGAGGGATGGATAAATAGACAAGATTGAAAGGAAGACAGACAGAGAGATCTAGACATAGCCACCTAAGTATGTATTAACTGTGTGTTGTATTTTAAATTTTTGTGATTCAGTCTTGCATCGTAAATAAACAAATCCACAGATCCCTAACTCCTAAATTTCATTGGGTCAGACCTCGAGGCGCAGGAAGGCAAATGCAGGGTTCAGGCAGGGAACCGCGATCCGAATGGAATCCGGAATGCTCGACAGCTCTTCTCCTGGATTCTGGGCGAGCAGAAACCCCCACCCCACAGTCTCCCAGGGCTGGCAATGGGATCTCCGTCAACCCTGCAGAAGCCACTTTACCGTTTAAGCAGGCTTCGTGGAGAGGCGATGCTATATACAAGGGCGGGATGACCTTGGCCCCGTGGGACAGGAGGACTTTTCACAGTCAATGCTTACCGAGGCGCAGGCATCGCAGAACGGGGTACTCCCATCGATGTTCTGGGCATCCACCTGTGGCAGAAAGGGATCAAACCCTCAGCCTGGTGCATCTCATGGTGAACCTACCTGGGATTCAGCCATTTTTGAATAGGATTCGCACTTGGTACAAGCAAATCCTCGGCTAATGACCACAATTGAGCCTAAAATTTCCATTGCTAAGAGACAGTTGTTAAGTGAGTTTTGCCCCGTATTACGACCTTGATTCCCATCGTTGTTAAGTGAATCACTGCAGTTGTTAAGTTAGTAACTCGGTTGTTAAGTGAATCCGGCTTCCCCCCATTGACTTTGTCAGAAGGTCGTAAAAAGGGATCACATGACCTGGGACACTGCAACAGTCATAAATATGAGTCAATTGCCAAGCGTCTGAATTTTGATCACATGACCATGGGGAGGCTGCAACAGTTGTAAGGGTGAAAAATGGTCATAAGTCACTTTTTTCAATGCCGGTGTAACTTTGAATGGACACTAAATGAATTGTGGTACGTTGAGGATTACTGCGTTCTAACTACCACCAGGAATCAAAGGGATCAGACACTCAATCTGGTACTTGTGTTGGTTAACCTACCTATGGAATTCAGCCATTTTTAAAAAAAAGATGAATAGAATAGAAAACAATAGAATAGAACAGAAAAGAAAATAGGGAATAGAATATATGGAAAGAATAGAATAGAAAACAGAATAGAATAGAAAACAGAACAGAATAGAAAGGGAATAGAATAGGATAGAAGGTATAGAATAGAGCAGAGTAGAATTATTATTGTTGTTTTGTTGTTGTTGTTGTTGTTGTTGTTGTTGTTGTTGTTGTTGTTATTATTATTATTATTATTATTATTATTATTATTATTATTATTATTATTATTATTATTATTATTATTATTATTATTATTATTCACACAGTCAGCCAGATGTTCAGATTGGGTGTAGCATTTTTCTCTACCTATTGAGTCCTTAGCAAGGACCTGGGATAGGCAGATTTGGACGTTTGATGGGTAGTTGTTTTATTCTTATTATCGTCGTCGTCGTCATCATCAATTTATTTGTGGCCTATCTCACTGTGGGACTACTCTAGGCAGCTTACAACCACAAAGAGGAAGAAATGAAAAGAGCGTAAACCAAAACAGAAATCAAATCACAGAAGAATAAAATAAACCATGCAAAGGAAGGCAATGAGATTCGGCTTCTATCATAGGAGGATCCACATCTAACTGGCCGTCTGGGGAGGGGGGGATCTGAAACCTGCACCCCGAATCCCGGGGAAACCTGGTGCCAAATAAACCTTTGCTGGCATTCTTTCCCCAGATGTTTTAGTCTGCACCCCTCTGCAACCCAGCGCCCTCCCCTCGCACCTGGGCTCCCGCCGCCAGGAGGATCTCCACACACCGCGTCTGGCCACGCAGGCTGGCTTCGTGCAGGGGGGTGATTGAGTCGTAGGTGACCAGGTTGACGCAGGCGCCGTTCCGGATCAGTTCTTGGAGCTGATGGATGTCCCTGGTTCGGGCGGCTTTGTGAACCAGGGTCCTCTCGGCCCAAAATGCTACAGGGAGACGAAGGGAGGATGGAGGGTTAAAACAGTCCCTGTCCAGAATGAGACGAAAAAAATCCGAGCCCAACCAAACCAGGACAGGTAGTCCTCGATTTATGACCAGAATTTCCATTAATCCTAGAGGTTGTTAAGCGAGGACCTTTCTTGCCATGCTTGTTAAGGGAATCACTGGGGTCATTAAGCGAATCAGGCAGTCGTTAAGCAAATATGGCTTCCCCCATTGACTTTAGTTGTTGAATGGTAGTTAGTAAAAGGGGATCACGTGACCACAGGGATGCTGTTAGTCATGGGGAGGGGAGAAGGAAGATGATTGTGGGGACCTTGGTGCTCTCTGAGCTGGGTGGTTTTCTTGCAGACGTTGCATGACCCAACATCATCAGTGCTGGGAGGGAGTGGGGCTTGTGGAGGGAAGGGGAAGGACTGGTTGATGCTCTCTGAACTTGGTGGTTTTCTTGCAGACGTTTCATGACCCAACTAGGTAACGTAATCAGTGTTTAAGGGAGTGAGGTTTGTGGAGAGGAGGAGGAAGAGGAGGAGTCCTTGGTGCTCTCTAATCTTTGTTATGTCTTGCAGACATTTCATGACCCAACTAGGGAACCTCACCAGGGCTGACTCTCTACGTGAATACACCCCATTTGCAACAATGACCAGAAAAGGACGTTGTCTTACCTGAACGCCTTTTTTCAGCATGAAGATGGAGAATCCATGGATGGGTTGATCTTGCCTTTCTTCCCTAGAGACTACGTCAATCAACCTTTGCCACGCCTCTCTTCCTCCGGCTAGGAATCCCGTCACTATGAAGGCACAGCAGTTGATGATTGTCAAGCTGGTGGTGGCTCAACTTCCCCTGACACAGGACTGGATGGACCTTGGGGGGGGGGGAGTGGATTCTCCATCATCATGCTGAGAAAAGGCGTTCAGGTAAGGCAACGGCCCTTCTCCAGCATGACGAATGGAGGATCCACAGATGAGACATACCAAAGCCTCAGTGCTCCCACGGGCTGGAAGAAGTCTGGGCCTGTATCCCACTATCTGTTACTACCCTTTGGAGGAGTCTCCTGCCAAATGAAGCGTCTGCTGAGGCGAATGTATCTAACTTATAATGCCTCACAAATGGGGAAGGCGACGACCACATCGCTGCCTTGCAGATCTCTTTGATGGACGCCTGTGTTGACGTTGCTGCAGATGTTGCCGCACTGCGGAGTGTGCGGTGATTCGTGTTGGAACTGGCAAGGAGTGCGTCTGGAACGCCCCTGCGATGCAAGCCCTAATCCATCTACCGATAGTAGAGGCGGTCACCTTCTGACCCCTTGAAGAGGGGTGGAATGAAACTAAGAGGGCTTCAGTTATTGGCAAAAAGGGCAGTTCGCTTAATATAGCGACGCAAGGCTCTGCGAACGTTCAAATTGTGCAATTTACGTTCCAAATCGTGGGACGGCTCAGGACAAATATCTGGCAGCACAAGCTCCTGCGCCCTGTGAAACGATGAGTTAATTTTGGGGACGAAGGAAGGGTCTAAGCGTAGGACCACCCTGTCGATATGAAAAATACATAAGTCATCTCTAATGGAGAGTGCTGCCAATTCCGAGATGCACCCAGCCGATGTAACGGCTACTAGGAAGGCGGCCTTGAGAGTCCAGAATCGTAGGGTGGAGGTTCTGACTGGCTCAAATGGAGGTGAAGTGAGAGCCTGTAAGACCTTGGACAGGTCCCAAGAGGGATATCTGTGAACCACGGGCAGTTTGCTGTTGATTGCTCCCCCGACAGAGGAACGTATCATGGGATGTTGAGCCAAGGGCTCTGAGTTGCCATATGTGAGCACTGTGGACAGGGCAGAAACTTATCTGCGGATTGTGTTGGGTGCTAAACCCCTCTTAAGTCCCTCCGGTAAATAATCCAAAATTCTTGGAATAGGAATTGTAGTTGGATGTAATTGTTCTCTCCCACACCAGTTACAGAAATTCTTCCATGTGGAATCATAGATTCTATTAGTTGCAGGCCTTCTTGAAGCCTGAATCATGGTAATCACGTCTGATGAGTAGGTCTCTTTTGTTAGGAGTCTCCTTTCAAATGCCCGGCGGTTAGCTGCAGGCAATGAGGCTCTGGGTGTTGTAGAACCCACTGGCTGAGGGAGATTCCATCTTGGGGTATTCTCCATGGAGGAGAGATCGGATACTGTCCCGACGTAACTTAAGATAGGTAAACCTCGCACTTCCTGGTATCTATCACCGTGCCCAGATGAAGGTGGCGAGTGGAGGAAACTATCTGGCTTTTCTGGGGGCCGATGAGAGGCCGAATGGTAGAGCTCTTTGCTCAAAATGGTGGCCTGCGTAGCAGAACATGAGGAATTTCCGGTGTCCGGGAAGGATGGGAATGTGTGGGTAGGCCTCCGTCAGGTCAATGGACGTCAGGAAGTCCCCCCTTCTGATGCCTGCTAATATGGATTGGAGCGTTTGCATCTTGAACTTCTTGTGTGCCAAATGGATATTTAATTTCTTTAAATCCAGAATTGCCCTCAATCCTCCCGAGGCCTTTGGAAAGATGAACAGAATGGAATAAATAACCCGTCCCTTCTGCCCTACCGGTACCGGTTCTATGGTCTGGATCTTCAGGAGATGTCGAATGGCCTCTTTCATGAGGCTTCTTTTGACCGGATTTTTGGATGATGGGCAAGAGATGAAAAGCTTCGGGGGGGTGAAGGTGAACTCTAGAGTCAGGCCGAATCTGATGGTGTTGAGGACTCAGAGATCTGTAGTGGTGTTCTCCCATTTGTGTGCAAAGAGAGCCAATCTGCCCCCTATGGGAGAGGCACCTCTGGTGTCACTAGAACCTTCTGAAAGGACGACCTTTAGCGCCTCGAAAGGGCCGTTTGGCCTGAAATTGCTGTCTGTCTCTGCCCCCGTTACCAGATCTGTCGAATTGAGGTTCTGGTCTGGAAGGATGAGAACCGGAGTAATGGCTGAATTCTGACCCTGTGTCGGTTGAGGTGGGAGAATGAGGAGGGGAGTAATGGGTGAATTCCGACCCTGTGTTGGTTGGGCGATAGAACTGCTTGGGGGCATAAGGGGTAGCTTTCCTGTCTGCTCTCCTAGGAAGTTTGGGCATGACCTTACACTTACCCTTCCCAGTCAGATAAGGGTTTAGTGCCTCTCCAAATAACTGGCCTCCCCTGTAAGGGGTTGAGGCCAACCGCCACTTGGACTTAAAATCCGCTCGCCACTGTCTGAGCCACAGAAGTCTGCGAGAGATAACATTAGATGTTAATGCCTGGGAGGAAAATCTGGCCACCTGCAAGGATGAGTCAGCCATGTATTCTGATGCAGCCACTAATTTGTTTAAATCTTGGTGCATCCGTACCTCTTCTGGTGATATCTTAGCCTGTAATTGGCGAAGCCAGAGGACTGAAATTCTGGCGAAAAAGGAAGTTGATATAGCTGCTTTTACCGCCCATGCTGAGGCTTGGTGGCTCTTGCGGAAATTATGCTCCGCTTTCTTATCCTCTGGCGTCAGAACCTCCGCTATATCCCCAGTCACAATGAAGTTGGGAACAAATGTTGTTGCTAAGGGCTCATCTACCGTGGGGACTTCTAGCACCTCTGACAGTGCTGGAGCCACATTAAATAACTGTTTATCAGTCCCCCCCGGAGGTGGAAAATGAGCTGGCGTTCCCCATTGTCTTTGGACTTCATTGAGGAAAAGGGGAGGACAGGGAATGTACTGTTGGGTAAACGTTGGCTCTGAACAGATCTTACTGGTAGGTCCCTGACTGGTGGAAGGTTCAGCCTCAGGGATACCTTCAGGACCAAGTTGAGCAGTGCTCCTGGCCTTGTGAAGCAAGGATTTAAAGAGGGCCGGATTAAACAGGCCTGTGAAAGTTGGGGGATCAGGAGGTAAGTCCTCATCTTCTGACAGCCCCAGCTCTCTCTGTTCGTCATCCCCTGTGAACGACCTTCTACTCCTGGAGGAATTGAATGGGGAAACTGGCCCCTGGTATGCGGCTGCTTCCGCCTGGGAGACGTACGATGCATTGCTGTGAGATGGGACCTCTGATGCTATCGACTCAGTTCGAGCTCTATGGTGTAGGGTCGAAGCTACAGCTTGGGCAACAGCCTGAGAAATCAGAAGCTGCATTTGTTCTGATAGTCCTGTCTCCCGAGTCTCTGGAAGACGAAGTCCTGTTGCTGTAGGAGTGAATGTGGCCTCTGGGCCCAGAGATCCAGCTGTACCCGGAGGAGCAGGGATCTGAAGGCCAAGCCCCTTACTGGAAGGAGGAACCATCTCCATCTGTTCTGCCATGGGAGAAACGGACTGACCTGTTTCCCCTTCTGGAGACCTGGCACTTGGAGCAGCAGAGGTCGAAGGAGCTTGTTGAGGGTCAACCATCTCCACCTGTTCTGCCATGGGAGAAATGGACTGACCTGTTTCCCCTTCTGGAGAGCAGGCACTTGGAGCAGAAGAGGTCGAAGCAGCTTGTTGAGGGTCAACCATCTCCACCTGTTCTGCCATGGGAGAAATGGACTGACCTGTTTCCCCTTCTGGAGAGCAGGCACTTGGAGCAGCAGAGGTCGAAGGAGCTTGTTGAGGGTCAACCATCTCCACCTGTTCCACCTGTTCTGCCATGGGAGAAATGGACTGACCTGTTTCCCCTTCTGGAGACCAGGCACTTGGAGTAGCAGAGGCCGAAGGAGCTTGTTGAGGGTCAAAACAGGACGCTTCCATGGGAACAGAAGATATCTGACCAACCTTTGCCTCCTTCTGTTGCCCTGCAGCATTGGAGAATTGTTTTCCCAATGCCTGTTGCCTCCCGCTTGCTTCTTTCCCAGCAGCTTTGGGAGACATTCTGCCAGCAATAGCTCTGGCTCTGAGTTTCCCAGCAGCCTCCTGCTTGGCTGATCTGGAGTTCCTCAGTATGGAGGGACTGCTGGAGACACCTTGAGAGCTCTGAGCTGCTGTGGTTTTATCTGCCATTGCAAAAAATCAGAGATATCACAGAAATGGCAATCTCAATGTGTTTGCAACAGAGAGGTGGTCGCAGGAGGCAAGTAATGGCGGCCCAACCAAATGGGGTAGCCAGCACAATCACAAGCCTGGTAGTGGCCACAAGACCACCTTAGTGGGGTAGCCAGCACACTTACAAGCCTGCTAGTGGCAGCAAGATCAACTTAATGAGGGTAGCCAGCACACTTATAAGCAGCGAAATTGGTGGTAGGAAGAGGCGCTGAAAATGGCAGAAGTTAAAGCGGGCACTCAGCCACTCCCTGAAGGCTTTAGAAATTGCGTCCTGAAGGAGGCTGCTGTTGTTGTTGTTGTTGTTGCCTCTAATTGTAATAGCCTTGGTGTGCGGCGAGCTGCCAAGGATTGGAGAAGCAGCACCTTCGAAATATCGCTCCTTAACTCTGGCCTTCTGGAATGGCCTGAGGGCGTTTGTCAGGCTCTCAAAATGGCGGCCGCTAGCAAGCGACCTCCTGCTCCGTCCTTATGTCCGAGTTAATAAAGGCGGCAGCTGCTTCTATTTGCTGACTTAAGAAGACTGCAGACTGAATTCTGGCCAAAACTGACTCTATTCTGAGTCTAAACGGCCGTCGCTGGAAGGAAGGTCCCGCACACTTCCCTCAGAAACAATCAAAGCGGCGCTCAAAATGGCGACCGCAGCGCTTCTGCCTCTGCCTGGAAGCAGCCGAGGACTGCAAAAGCGCTCTCACCCTCGGCGGTTTGGAAAAGCAGCGCTGAGGCAGGGAAGGGAAGGGAAGGGAAAGGAAGGGTACAACCTGGGAAAATCCACAGTTCTGTCGTTCTGCTAGAAACCAGAGCCAACCTTCACCACGTCTCTCCCGGGCTAAGACTAAGCCTTAACTGGCGAGTCCTAGCCGGAGGAAGAGGGGCGTGGCAAAGGTTGATTGATTTAAAGCTCTTTTGTGATTGGTGGACTTCAACTCCCAGAATTCCTGAGCCAGCCACGCTAAGGGGAAAGGGAGAGGTTTCCAAGCTGAGCCAGGTTGGCCCTGGAATTCTGGGAGTTGAAGTCCACAAGTCATGAGGGGGCGATAAGTCCCCCATGCTGGCTCAGGAATTCTGGGAGTTGAAGTCCACGAGTCATGAGGGGGCGATAAGTCCCCCATGCTGGCTCAGGAATTCTGGGAGTTGAAGTCCACCAGTCCTAAAAGAGCCCAGCTTGCCTGCCCCTGACTTAGTCTCTAACAAAGTGAATTCTCTCCCCCCCCCATTGCCGGGAGCTTTGGGCCAGATTCCCAGGGGGTCTCTTACCTTTGCAAAGACCCTCCGTCGTTTCCCTCTTCCCACCACGGCGTCCCCTTCTCTGTCCGGGAGCTGCGCAGGGAGCCTTTGCAACCCCCACGTGACTCCAGACCCCTCAAAATCACCCCTCACGCCCCCTCCCCAAAACGGGTCAGNCCAAGCTGAGCCAGGCTGGCCCTGGAATTCTGGGAGTTGAAGTCCACCAGTCATGAGGGGGCGATAAGTCCCCCATGCTGGCTGAGGAATTCTGGGAGTTGAAGTCCACCAGTCCTAAAAGAGCCCAGCTTGCCTGCCCCTGACTTAGTCTCTAATAAAGTGAATTCTCTCCCCCCCCCCATTGCCGGGAGCTTTGGGCCAGATTCCCAGGGGGTCTCTTACCTTTGCAAAGACCCTCCGTCGTTTCCCTCTTCCCACCACGGCGTCCCCTTCTCTGTCCGGGAGCTGCGCAGGGTGCCTTTGCAACCCCCACGTGATTCCAGACCCCTCAAAATCACCCCTCACGCCCCCCTCCCCAAAACGGGTCAGGGTCCCCCCCCCCGTTGACGCCAAGAAACCTATAGCCGTCTTTTTTCTTTTTCTTTGCAACCCGGATCGACCTGGGAAGGAGAAGCCGAGGGTGCAGATTCCCGGGCGCGGATCCTGCCAAGCCGGCCGGGAACTTCCCTGGCTCGCAAGCCGCATTTCTGGCTCAGCTCTCCAAGAAGCGCAACGCGCGACCCGCGAGGCCCTTTCCAGGGCAGGAGGGGATAAACAACGGCGCGGCCACGGCCGACACGCGTCACCCCAAGCGTTCACACAACACGCTAAACTCGGGAGCGGGAGCATTCGTTTGTGGGGAGAGGGGCTTTGCTTTTGCGGGGGTGGGGGGGAAAGTGTTGGCGTTAAACCCAGCGCAGCTGGCGATCTATGGATCGCAATGCCTCTGGGGACACCCCCACCAAAAGGGTTAATTAATAACCAGGACTACGGTTGTGGAAACGCAGCTTGAATGCCGGGTCAAGAGCGGAGGCGGCGTCTGTACGCTTTTCTCCCCTTCCCCCTTGAAATTTGCACAGTAATAGAGCAAGTGCATCGTTGCGCTGGCCTTTCTGAAGATCCAGAGCCCCACTCAGGTCTAGCAGCATGAAAAGGCTGAGTTCCGGGATTGGAGGCGATTCCTGCTGGGAGAGGGACGCCCCCTTCCCACACTCACGGATCTCGCCCAGCAAAGAACCACTGGCGGTCACCGGCTCCATGAGTCCGTAAAAGCGGACTACACACCCCAGCAGGCCAGGCACTGAGGAATCCCGGGACACCCCAGGCGCTGCTCGCAAGGGCTGCCGGGAGTTGTAGTTCTCCAGTCAGGCTTCCAGGATGTTGGCTCTGATGCTTGCAGATGTTTGCCCGTCCTTTGCAACTTTCGCTACGAGGGTTTCATCCCCACATCCCTTTCTTGACATGTGGGATGTTGCACCTCGGTGCTTGAATTACAATTGTCTGGAGGGAGGGGTTGCTTCCTGACGCCCCCGTCACCCCAAACTCTGAAAAACATCACAGGTCGACCTGCGCATCCCAATCAGGCACCCGAAAATTTGCCTTTTGCGCTTAGACTTCTGCCTTATTTCAGGGGTTCCACACGTGGCCAGACCTGTAATGGGTGCTGGTGGGCTTTGATTTGTCTGGGTGTTATGTATTTAATGGTAATATTTCTTTGTACAATGCATTTTTATTTATTGGCAAAATTGATGGATTCATTTGCAAAATCTATGAGTTAGACCATTTTACAAATAAAGATTACTCATACATACATTTCGCAAATCATTAAACTTCACAAACAAATGCATACATTTTACAAATAAAACAATCTTGGGAGTATTTTAAAATGGGTGGATTACAACTCCCATGTGTTAATACAGGTAGTCCTTGACTAACAACTATTCAAAGTTACAAACGGCACTGAAAAATGCCATTTTTCACACTTGCGACCATTGTAGCCTCTCCAGTGTCACGGGATCAAAATTCACATGCTTGTCAACCAATTCATATTTACGACGGTCGCAGTATCCCCGGCCGGGGTCACGTGATCACCGTTTGCGACCTTCTGACCAGGAAAATCAATGGGGAAGCTAGATCCCCTGAACAATGGTGCCACTAACTTAACCACTGCAGCGATTCATTTAACAATTGTGGCAAGGGTGGGCGTAAAATGGGGCAAAATCCACTTAACAAGGCTGAGGAGTACATCTAGACCAAGACGCAAAACGGGGTGAGCCCATCAGGCTTCGGTAAGTTATCGCTCCATCTCTCCAACGTAGAGGTGATCAACCACACACATACCAGTGGGTGCTAAAGCTTTTCACCAACACACTCAAAGCAACCGCCGAGCCGGCAAGGAGACCACCAGGTAATCCGCTTCCAGCCACGGTTTTAACATTTCTATTTACAGTCGTTTGAGAAAAGTCGCACGTTGTTCCGAACGAAGGTGGCTTCGGAAGAGCACAAGCCGTATTTTGCAGGGTGATGATTGGGGGGGTCCTTAGACGGGGGCCACGGACAGCTCACTGGCTGTAGGAGAGGAATTCAACTAATTTCGTAGGGATGTGGAGGTGGGGGATCTTTTCCAGGGCTTTTTGGCCGAGAGCGTGACGGAGGCTGAGACGACAAAGCTGAGAGAGCCGCAGGGGGGTTCCTGGAGGGTTGGGGGAAAGAAAAAGGACATTAAACAACATTCAATGGCAAATACACACCATCTTCTAAAGCGGCAGGGATGTCCGACCTTGGCCGCTTTAAGGCTGGTGGACTTCAACTCCCAGAATTCCCCAGCCAGTCCTTTCCTCTAAATATTGTCATCTGGTAGGAGCTACACATGCTTTTCCCTGCCCTATGATCACCCCCCCCTGAAATTCAGCTGTCCACCCCCAACCTTCTGTAAAGGGGGTTGAAGACCCCCAAGGTTCCTTTCAACTGTTTATTCTATTCCATTCCATTCTGTAATTCTATTCTATTCTATATTATCTATTCTATTTTCTATTCTATTCTATTCTATTCCATTCTGTAATTCTATTCTAATCTATATTCTCTTCTATTTTGTTCTGTAATTCTATTCTCTATTCTCTATTCTGTTCTATTCTCTATATTCCATCCACAGACACATCAACCTACAACCAGCCTACGAACCCCTCAGAATCCAAATCAACCCCACAGCCAACCAGAGACGGCACAACCATCCCGCGCAATCCCCCACTATCAGCAGTTCACCTCCCAAGGATCCTGACCTGATGTAACCTCCATATCACGAGACCCATCAACAGCCTCTCACTTGTTCTGTCCCAGCCCACGTGAGTCCTTGTTAAGCTCACAAGGAGAAACCCATCTTCCAATCAAGCAGGCTGGAATCGCAAGAAAAAACCAGCTCTTTTATTCTCACAGACCTGAGTCAATGTCCAAGGCAAACAAACACACTCCACAGAAACTCGATCCTTAACACGAAAGGTTGCCTTCGGCCACCAGTACCTCCCACACCTTCCCTTTTATTATGCAGCCAAGGCGTGGCTTTCCTAATGCCTTCTCCTTTGCCTTTGGAGCCGCCCCATTACATTCCTCTCTCCTACTCGCTTCTCTTGCCTGCCTGCGCTTTCAAGCATCTGGGATTTGTCCCAGCTGTTCTTCATCACTGTCCAACTCAGCCTCCCAGCACAGCTGTGTCTCAGCCTGAGCGCGAGTAGAGGACCCAGGCTCCTCGTCTGACTGTAAGTCTTGGAGCTCCTCAGAGCCTTCCTCTGACTCTGATGTCACTCCAGGCCCCTCCTCCTCCTCCTCTGATTCCTCAGACTCAGCTGCAGGATCGATGGGTTAGCGAGGAATCACAACATCACTGATGACTCACAGCTGATCCATCACAAGACCCTCACTGGACACACCCACACCTGGAGCCCTTATCAACAGAACAAGGACACTGACAGCACCAAAACTCTGCTGAAGAATGTTACCTAGCTTTGTCACGAAACGTTCGGAGAAGCTCGGAGAACGAACCTTCACTCTCGCGCACCTCTATGAGACAGGTAGAAGAAAGACAACACGTTTTCCTGGCCAATTTGACTCACTTTCGTAATATGCAAAACACTTGGCCGTTGAGCTGTTGCTTTGACTGTAATCAGAGGGTTTTTTCCCTTGGTTGTCCCGGGCGTAAACGTTTCCTCCGAATTCGATCAGCATCTCCGCCAAGTCAGCATTTCGAACTTTGGCGGCGTGGTGAAGGGCCGTCTCGTGAAGTTTGGCTGCGTTCACGTTGGCTCCTGCAGGCCGGGATGGAAATTGAGAAAGTCAGAGATTATCACCAATTCAGTGATTTTTAGCGGCCACACAAAGGTAGTCCTCAAATTACGGCCATAATGGAAGACTAAATTTCTGCTGGTAAACGAAACAGTTGTTTAAGTGAGTTGCGTCCCATTTTACGACCTTTTTGCCACAGCTGTTAATTGTGTCGGGGACAGGATGGCTCGCTTAATGACGGCACCGCTGAAGGACAAATTTTACAGCCCCGGTTGCGGTCGTAAGTAGAAAACTACTTGTATTTAAGGAAAAGGCTTGCTGGTTACACTCATTGCTCATTTAGACTAAGGCAGGATAAACCTTTTTTTTTAAATAATATTTTATTAATTTTCCAATTTTACATTTGAGTACTTAAAAAGCAGCGTGGCAACTGGGTTAATCAATAGTTCAATAACAAAATCTTTAGTGCAAATCTCAGGTTACATCAGAGATTTCTTCTGTTTTTCCCTTAACATTTACTGTCTCGTACTCAAGCTAGTACATTTCTAATTACATCAACTCAATAAAAACATCATTATTACATTTATCAATAATTTTTTAGCTTATGCATATCTTAACAACATTCAATCTTCATAAACAATCCATATCTTGTAAGGCAGGATAAACCTTGGAAGACCAGATTGGGGGTTCCTGAATCAGGTTTGGTTGCCTGGAATTAATCCAGCACTTTTGGAGGCTAAAACATATAAGGAACGGTTGCTGGAATTGAGGATGTCTAGTTTAACGATGAGAAGGATGAGGGGGGAGTCTTCCAATATTTCAGGGGCTGCCCCAAAGAAGAGGGAGTCAAGCTATTCTCCAAAGCGCCCGAAGGCAGGACAAGCATCATCGGATGGAAACTAATCAAGGAGAGAAGCAACCTGGAACTAAGGGGAAACTTCCTGACAGTTAGAACAATTAGCCAGTGGAACAACCTGCCTCCAGAAGCGGTGAATGCCCCAACACTGGAAGTGTTTAAGAGACTGGACAACCATTTGTCTGAAATGGTATAGGGTTTCCTGCCTGAGCAGGGGGTTGGACTAGATGACCTCCAAGGTCCCTACCAACTTTTTTTTATTATTATTATTATTATTATTATTATTATTATTATTATTATTATTATTATTATTATTATTATTATTTCTACCCTCATTCCTTGGGGACCTCGCAGCGCCGCACCTGCGTTCAGCAATAACTTCACGCAATCCAGGTGTTCTCGTGCACACGCCACGTGCAGAGGCGTTCCAAAATGGCAGTCGTGGGCCTCTAAGTTCGCGCCGACCTCAATCAGAAGACGGACGCACTCCGCGCTGCCTTAGAAAAGAATCAGATCAAGGAAGAACATTCATTGAATGCCAGCGTGGATCCCCTGCTCATTTCAAACAGAGACGGATAAAGCTGTTTTCACGCCAACTTCCCGGAAGTCCGTTCCATCCGGTTCATGTTAAGGATGGATTCCTGGGGCTGGTGTGGCTGAACTGCCTAAAACTCCCAATGGTATTACAGATCGTCCTTTACTTACAACGATTCATTAAGTGAGCGTCCGAAGCTACAATGGTGCCGGAAAAAAGGGATTTATGACGATCTTTCACACTTACGACTACGGCAGCTTCCCCCCAGTCACACAATCAAAATTCGGATACTTGGCAACTGTTTCATATTTACGACGGTTGCAACATCCTGGGGTCGTGTGATCCCCTCTTGAGGCCTTCTGAGTCAATGAGGAAGCCAGTGGGAAGTGTGAAAAAGTCGTAAGTCATTTTTTTCAGTGCCGTTGACTTTGAGCGGTCGCTAAACAATCTGTCGTAAGTTGAGGAACACCTGTATTCTTAGCACAGGTTTGCTACCCAGGTGTTTTGAAGTAGCTATTCTAATTTTTTTTTGTAGCCTTAGCTCAGTGGTGGTGAACCTATGGCATGCGTGCCAGAGGTGGCACTCAGAGCCCTCTGTGTGGGCATGCGCATCGCGGCCACTAGCAGCTCGCGCAGGTACATTAGGCTGCCGCTGCCCAGAGCAGCAGCCCCGCCCAGCACAAAGCAGACAAAATGGCCGGCTAGCAAGCTCGAGTATAGATGTTACAGTATCGAGGTGGCCACGCCTACTTGGCCACACCCACCGTCTGCTGTGACCACCCTGGCCATGCCCACCCAGTGGGCCACACACCCCACCCTCCCTGAGGGAACCACAATGCTGATGCAGACTTGGCACTTTGCAATAAATAAGTGGGATTTGGGTTGTGGTTTGGGCACTCGATCTCTAAAAGGTTCGCCATCACTGTCTTAACTTATAGAAAAGGTTTGGTGCCTTCAATGGATTGTTAATGTAGTCCTCACTTAATGACGGTTTGAAATTACGAGCACCTGAAAAAAAATTACTTAAGGCTGATCCTCAAAGTTACATCTACACACACACACGCAATGACAGCATTTACAGTGCCCGGTTGCAGTGCCCTGTGGTCACATGACTGCAATGTTTCTTGCCGGTTTCCAACAGTTTTTGCGGGGTTTCCAGCATTCAGGAGAATGGATTCGCTTAACAACCAACCCTGTGGTTCACAAGAACATGATCCACTTAGTGACTATGGTGAGTCACTTTACTACCATCCAAGAAACAGTCCTAAAAATCAAGTCAGGTCATGTGGCGTGACCCGCTTAACCACTGCAATGGCTTACGATCAAAATTCTGGGCCCAATTGTAGTCATTAAGGGAGGACTAGCTGTTTAGAGTTATAGATAGATAGATAGATAGATAGATAGATAGATAGATAGATAGATAGATGATAGATAGATAGATAGATAGATAGATAGATAGATAGATAGATAGATAGATAGATAGATAGATAGATAGATGATAGATAGATGATAGATAGATAGATGATAGATGGATGGAGGGACGGATGGACGGACAGGCAGGCAGGCAGGCAGGCAGGCAGGCAGGCAAACAGGCAGGCAGATATGGGCAATGGATAGATGATAGATAGATATGTAGATAAATAATAGATAATAGATGGATGGATGAATGGATAGACAAACAGGCAGGCAGGCAGACATACAGGATAGACAGACATTCAGGCAGACAGACTAGGGAGCTCGATAGATGACAGGGATGACAGACAATGGATGAATACACAGATATACGTACGTACGTATGTACAGGTAGGTAAATAAAGATAGACAGAATGGATGGATGGATGAATGGAATAAACAAATCCACAGATCCTTAACTCCTGCATTTCATTGGGCCAGACCTGGAGGCGCAGGAAGGCAAATGTGGACTGCAGGCAGGGAACCGCGATCCGAATGGAATCTGGAATGCTCGACAGCTGTTCTCCTGGATTCTGGGCGACCAAACACACCCCCCCCCCCCCGTCTCCTAGGGCTGGCCCAGGGATCTCCATCAACCCTGCAGAAACCACCTTACCGTTTAAGCAGGCTTCGTGGAGAGGCGACGCTATATACAAGGGCGGGTTGACCTTGGCCCCGTGGGACAGGAGGACTTTCACACAGTCAATGCTTCCCGAGGCGCAGGCATCGCAGAGCGGGGTGCTCCCATCGATGTTCCGGGCATCCACCTGTGGCAGAAAGGGATCCAACCCTCAGCCTGGTGCCTCTCTTGGTGAACCTACCTAGGATTCGGCCATTTTTGAACAGGATTCGCACTTGGTACAGACAAGTCCTCGGCTTACAACCACAATTGAGCCTAAAATTTCCATTGCTAAGAGACAGTTAAGTGAGTTTTACCCCGTATTACGACCTTGATTCCCACCGTTGTTAAGTGAATCACTGCAGTTAAGTTAGTAACACGGTTGTTAAGTGAATCCGGCTTCCCCCCACTGACATTGCTTGTCAGAAAGTCGTAAAAAGGGATCACATGAGCCCGGGAAACTGCAACAGTCACAAATGTGGGTCAATTGCCAAGGGTCTGACTTTTGATCACATGACCATGGGGAGGCTGCAGCAGTCATAAGTGTGAAAAATGGTTGTAAGTCACTTTTTTCAATGCCGGTGTAACTTTGAATGGACACTAAATGAACTGTGGAACCTTGAGGATTACTGCATTCTAACTACCACCAGGAATCAAAGGGATCAGACACTCAACCTGGTACTTGTGTTGGTTAAACTACCTATGGAATTCAGCCGGTTTAAAAAAAAGATGAATAGAATAGAATAGAAAACAGAATAGAATAGAATTGAAAAGAAAATAGGGAGTAGAATATATGGAAAGAATAGAACAGAAAACAGAATAGAAAAGAAAATAGGGAATAGAAAAGAAAATAGGGAAAGAATAGAATATATGGAAAGAATAGAATAGAAAACAGAACAGAACAGAAAAGAAAAGAAAATAGGGAATAGAATAGAATATATGGAAAAAAATAGAATAGAATAGAAAGTATAGAATAGAGTAGAACAGAGCAGAATTATTATTATTATTATTATTATTATTATTCACACAGCCAGAAGTTCTGACTGGGTGTTGCACAGTGGTTCTCAACCTTTTTAATGCCGCGAGCCCCAACCGGTCGTAAGTCGAGGACTAAACCAGTCGTAAGTCGAGGAGTAAACCGGTCGTACGTTGAGGACTAAACCGGTCGTAAGTCGAGGACTACCCAACCGGTCGTAAGTCGAGGACTTTCCCTGCCCGGGAGCGCCGCGTATGCGTGGTTCCGCCCCCTGCGCCAGCCGAGGCATAGCTGGCAAGCGGCAGAGACTGAGCAGGCCGACCACCAGCAGGCCCAGCCCAAGGGAGGTAAGGCACCCATCGGAAAAGGGAAAAAAAATGGCGGACAGCCTTGCTTGGCGACCCCCGTGAAATGGTCGCGACCCATAGGTTGAGAACCGCTGGTGTAGCATTTTTGTCTACCTATTGAGTCCTTAGCAAGGACCTGGGATAGGCAGATTTGGACGTTTGAGGGGTGGTTGTTTTATTATTATTATTATTATTATTATTATTTTGTTGTTTTGTTGTTATTTTATTGTTATATTATTATCGTCATCAATTTATTTGTGGCCTATCTCACTGTGGGAGTACTCTAGGCACCTTACAACCACAAAGAGGAAGAAATTTGATAATAATAATAAAAAGAAAGAATTTGATAATAATAATAAATAAATAAAATGAAAAGAGCATAAACCAAAACAGAAATCAAATCACAGAAGAATAAAACCATGCAAAGGAAGGCAATGAGATTAGGCTTCTGTCATAGGATCCACATCTAACTGGCCGTCTGGGGTGGGGGGGGGAATCTGAAATCTGCACCCTGAATCCTGGGGGAACCTGGTGCAAAATAAAGCTTTGCTGGCATTCTTTCCCCAGATGTTTTAGTCTGCAGCCTTCTGCAACCCGGCGCCCTCCCCTCGCACCTGGGCTCCCGCGGCCAGGAGGATCTCCACACACCGCGTCTGGCCACGCAGGCTGGCTTCGTGCAGGGGGGTGATCGAGTCGTAGGTGACCAGGTTGACGCAGGCGCCGTTCCCGATCAGTTCTTGGAGCTGATGGATCTCCCCGCTTCGGGCGGCTTCGTGAACCGGGGTCCTCTCGGCCCAAAACGCTACAGGGAGACGGAGGGCGGATGGGGGGTTAAAACAGTCCCTGTCCAGAATGGAGGGGGGTGTAAAAAAATCCCAGCCCAATCAAACCAGTACAAGTCCTCGATTAATGACAACCGGGACCAGAATTTCCATTGTTAATCCTAGAGGTTAAGCGAGGACCTTTCTTGCCATGCTTGTTAAGGGAATCACTGGGGTCGTTAAGCAAATCTGGCTTCCCCCGTTGACTTTGTTGAATGTTATTTAACAAAAGGGGATCATGTGACCACAGGGATGCTGTTAGTCGTAGGGAGGGAAGGAAGAGGAGGAGGAAGATGATTGTGGGGTCCTTCGTGCTCTCTGAGCTGGGTGGTTTTCTTGCAGACGTTTCATGACCCAACTAGGTAACGTAATCAGTGTTTAAGGGAGTGAGGTTTGTGGAGAGAAGGGGAAAGAGGACTGTGGGATCGTTGGTGCTCTCTAATCTTGGTTATTTCTTCCAGACATTTCATGACCCAACTAGGGAACCTCACCAGGGCTGTCTGCTCTATGTGAATACACCCCATTTGCAACCATCATCATAAGGGGCGTCGTCTTACCTGAACGCCTTTTCTCAGCATGACGGAGAATCCACGGATGGGTTGATCTTGCCTTTCTGCCCTAGAGACTACGTCAATCAACCTTTGCCACGCCTCTCTTCCTCCGACTAGGAATCCCCAGTCACCACAAAGGCACAGCAGTTGATGATTGTCAAGTGGTGGTGGCTCAACTTCTCCTGACACAGGACCGGATGGACCTTGGGGGGGGGGGGGAGTGGATTCTCCATCGTCATGCTGAGAAAAGGCGTTCAGGTAAGGCAACAGCCCTTCTCCAGCATGACGAATGGAGGATTCACAGATGGGACATACCAAAGCCTCACTGCTCCCACGGGCAGGAAGAAGTCTGGGCCTGTGTCCCACTATCTTTTACTACCCTTTGGAGGAGTCTCCTGCCAAATGAAGCTTCTGCTGAAGCGAATTCATCTAACTTATAATGCCTCGCAAATGGGGAAGGTGACGACCACGTTGCTGGCTTGCAAGATCTCTTCGATGGACGCCTGTGTCGCCGATGCCGCCGAAGTTGCCACACTGCGAATGGATTGTGCAGTAAGTCGTCTTGGAACGAAGAGGGCTTCAGAGTTGCAAAAAGGGGCAGTTTGCTTAATATACTCACGCGAGGCTCTGCGAACATCCAAGGTGTGCCATTTATGTTCCAAATCGTGGGACGGCTCAGGACAAAAATCTGGCAGCACAAGCTCCTGCGCCCTGTGAAACGATGAGTTGATTTTGGGGATGAAGGAGGGGTCTAAGCGTAGAAAAATACATAAGTCATCTCTAATGGAGAGTGCTGCCAATTCCGAGATGCGCCCAGCCGATGTAACGGCTACTAGGAAGGCGGCATTGAGTGTCCAGAATCGTAGAGTGGAGGTTCTGAAGGGCTCAAATGGAGGTGAAGTGAGAGCCTGTAAGATCTTGGACAGGTCCCAAGAGGGATATCTGTGAACCACGGGCGGTTTGCTGTTGATTGCTCCCCTGACAGAGGAACGTATCATGGGGTGTTGAGCCAAAGGCTCTGAGTTGCCATATGTGAGCACTGTGGAAAGGGCAGAAACTTGTCTGCGGATTGTGTTGGGTGCTAAACCCTTCTTAAGTCCCTCCGATAAATAATCCAAAATTCTTGGAATAGGAATTGTAGCTGGATCTAATTGTAGTCTCCCAAACCAGTTACATAAATTCTTCCATGTGGAATCATAGATTCTATTAGTTGCAGGCCTTCTTGAAGCCTAAATCATGGTAATCACGTCTGATGAGTAGGTCTCTTTTGTTAGGAGTCTCCTTTCAAATGCCCGGCAGTTAGCTGGAGCCAATGAGGCTCTGGGTGTTCTAGAACCCCCTGGTTGAGATTCCATCTTGGGGTATCCTCCACGGAAGAGAGATCGGATACTGTCCCGACGTTCCTGAGACAGGTAAACCTCGCACTTCCTTGTATCTATCACCGTGCGCCCAGGTAAAGGAGGCGGGTGGAGGGAACTATCTGGATTTTCTGAAAATTTACTGAAAACCCATGGTCCTGGAGGGTCTTGATGGACAATGACAGTTCTGATTGAGCCAATTGGACTGAGGATTGAATGAGGATGTCAGGCAAATAACACTGGACACGCACCGGAATGGTCCTGAGATGCGTGACCAGTGCCGCCAGGACCTTTGTAAATGCTCTGGGGGCCGATGACAGGCCGAATGGTAGAGCTCTGTACTCAAAATGGTGGCCTGCGTAGCAGACCCTGAGGAATTTCCGGTGTCCGGGAAGGATGGGAATGTGTGGGTAGGCCTCCGTCAGGTTGATGGACGTCAGGAGGTCCCCCCTTCTGCCGCCTGCTAATATGGATTGGAGCATTTGCATCTTGAACTTCTTATGTGCCAAATGGATATTTAATTTCTTTAAATTTAAATCCAGGATTGCCCTCCACCCTCCCGAGGCCTTCGGAACGATGAACAGAATGGAATAAAAAACCCATCCCTTCTGCCCTACCGGTACCGGTTCTATGACTTGGATCTCTAGATGTCGAATGGCCTCTTTCATGAGGTTTCTTTTGACCGGATTTTTGGATGATGGGCAAGAGACGAAAAGCTTCGGGGGGGTGGAGGTGATCTCTAGAGTCAAGCCGAATCTGATGGTGTTGAGGACCCAGAGATCTGTAGTGGTGTTCTCCCATTTGTGTGCAAAGAGAGCCAATCTGCCCCCTATGGGAGAGGCACCTCTGGTGTCCCTAGGACCTTCTGAAAGGACGGCCTCTGGCACCCCGAAAGGGCCGTTTGGCCTGAAATTGCTGTCTGCCTCTGTCCCTGTTACCAGATCTGTTGAATTGAGGTTCTGGTCTGGGAGGATGAGGACCGGAGTAATGGCTGAATTCCGACCCTGTGTCGGTTGTGGGAAAGGAATTCTTGCGGGCATTAGTAGTAGCTCTCCAGTCCAGTGTCTTAAGAAAAGTGGATATGACCTTACGCTTACCCTTGTTCTCAGTCAGATAAGGGTTTAGTGCCTCTCCAAATAACTGGCCTCCCCTGTAAGGGGCTGCGGCCAACCGCCACTTGGATTTAAGATTCATTTTCCACTGTCTGAGCCACAGAAGTCTGCGAGAGGTAACATTAGATGCTAATGCCTGGGAGGAAAATCTGGCCGCGTGCGAGGACGAGTCAGCCATGTATTCTGATGCAGCCACTAATTTGTTTAAATCTTGGTGCATCCGTACTTCTTCTGGTGGTACCTTAGCCTGTAATTGGCGAAGCCAGAGGACTGAAATTCTGGCGAAAAAGGAAGTTGATGTAGCTGCCTTTACCGCCCATGCTGAGGCTTGGTGGGTTTTGCGGAAATTAAACTCCGCTTTCTTATCCTCAAACTTCAGAACCTCCGCTATATCTCCAGACCCAGTGAAGTTGGTTACAAATGTTGTTGCTAAGGGCTCATCTACCGTGGGGACTTCTAGCACCTCTGACAGTGCTGGAGCCACGTTAAAAAACTGTTTATCAGTCCCCCCCGGAGGTGGAAAATTACCTGGCGTTCCCAATTGTCTTTGGACTTCATTGAGAAAAAGCGGAGGACAGGGAATGTACTGTTGGGTAAACGTTGGTTCTGAACAGATCTTACTGGTAGGTTCCTGACTGGTGGAAGGTTCAGCCTCAGGGATACCTTCAGGACCAAGTTGAGCAGTGCTCCTGGCCTTGTGAAGCAAGGATTTAAAGAGGGCCGGATTAAACAGGCCTGTGAAAGTTGGGGGATCAGGAGGTAAGTCCTCATCTTCTGACAGCCCCAGCTCTCTCTGTTCGTCGTCCCCTGTGAACGGCCTTCTACTCCTGGAGGAACTGAATGGGGAAAGCGGCCCCTGGTATGTGGCTGCTTCCGCCTGGGAGAGGTACGATGCATTGCTGTGAGATGGGACCTCTGATGCTATCGACTCAGGTCGAGCTCTCTGGTGTAGGGTCGAAGCTACAGCTTGGGCAACAGCCTGAGAAATCAGAAGCTGCATTTGTTCTGATAGTCCTGTCTCCTGAGCCTCTGGAGGACGAAGCCCTGCGGCTGTAGGAGTGAATGTGGCCTCTGGGCCCAGAGGTCCAGCTGTACCCGGAGGAGCAGGGATCTGAAGGCCAAGCCCCTTACTGGAAGGGGGAACCATCTCCATCTGTTCTGCCATGGGAGAAATGGACTGACCTGTTTCCCCTTCTGGAGACCTGGCACTTGGAGCAGCAGAGGTCGAAGGAGCTTGTTGAGGGTCAACCATCTCCACCTGTTCTGCCATGGGAGAAATGGACTGACCTGTTTCTCCTTCTGAAGACCTGGCACTTGGAGCAGCAGAAGTCGAAGGAGCTTGTTGAGGGTCAAAAACCGAGGCTTCCATGGGAACAGAAGTCATCTGACCAACCTTTGCCTCGTTCTGTTGCCCTGCAGCGTTGGAGAATTGTTTTCCCAATGCCTGTGGCCTCCCGCTTGCTTCTTTCCCAGCAGCTTTGGGAGACATTCTGCCAGCGATAGCTCTGGCTCTGAGTTTCCCAGCAGCCTCCTGCTTGGCTGATCTGGCGTTCCCCAGCCTGGAGGGACTGCTGGAGACACCTTGAGAACTCTGAGCTGCTGTGGTTTTACCTGCCATTGCGAAAAATCAGAGATATCACAGAAACGGCAATCTCAACGTGTTTGCAACAGAGAGGTGGTCCCAGTAGCAAGAAATAGTGGCTAGAAGTGGTGGCGGCCCAACCAAATGGGGTAGCCAGCACAATCACAAGTGTGGTAGAGGCAGCAAGATCAACTTAATGGGGTAGCCAGCACACTTATAAGCAGCGAAATTGGTGGTAGGAAGAGGCGCTGAAAATGGCGGCAGTTAAAGTGGGCACTCAGCCACACCCTGAAGGCTTTGGAAATTGCGCCCTGAAGGAGGCTGCTGTTGTTGCTGCCTCTGATTGTAACAGCCTTGGTGTGCGGTTAGCTGCCAAGGATTGGGGAAGCAGCACCTTCGAAATATCGCTCCTTAACTCTGGCCTTCTGGAATGGCCTGAGGGCGCTTGTCAGGCTCTCAAAATGGCGGCCGCTAGCAAGCGACCTCCTGCTCCGTCCTTATGTCCGAGTTAATAAAGGCGGCAGCTGCTTCTATTTGCTGACTAAGAAGACTGCAGACTGAAGTCTGGCCAAAATTGACTCTATTCTGAGTCTAAACGGCCGTCGCTGGAAGGAAGGAAGGGAAGGTTCCCCCACTCCCCTCAGAAACTATCAAAGCGGCGCTCAAAATGGCGACCGCAGCGCTTCTGCCTCTGCCTGGGAGCTATAAATAGCTCGAGAGGCTTCAGCCGAGGCCTGCAAAACCGCTCTCACCCTCGGCGGTTTGGGAAAGCAGCGCTGAGGCAGAGAAGGGAAGGGAAGGGAAAGGTACAACCTGGGAAAATCCACAGTTCTGTCTTTCTGTTAGAAACCAGAGCCAACCTTCACCACATCTCTCCCGGGCTAAGACTAAGCCTTGACTGGCGAGTCGTAGCTGGAGGAAGAGGGGCGTGGCAAAGGTTGATTGATTTAAAGCTCTTTGATGACTGGTGGACTTCAACTCCCACAATTCCTGAGCCAGCCATGCTGAGGGGAAAGGGAGAGGTTTCCAAGCTGAGCCAGGCTGGCTCAGGAATTCTGGGAGTTGAAGTCCATGAGTCATGAGGGGGCCATAGTTTCCCCCCTGCTGGCTCAGGAATTCTGGGAGTTGAAGTCCAGCAGTCATAAAAGAGCCCAGCTTGCCTGCCCCTGACTTAGTCTCTAATAAAGTGAATTCTCTCCCCCCCCCCCATTGCCGGGAGCTTTGGGCCAGATTCCCAGGGGGTCTCTTACCTTTGCAAAGACCCTCCGTCGTTTCCCTCTTCCCACCACGGCGTCCCCTTCTCTGTCCGGGAGCTGCGCAGGGCGCCTTTGCAACCCCCACGTGATTCCAGACCCCTCAAAATCACCCCTCACGCCCCCTCCCCAAAACGGGTCAGGGTCCCCCCCCCCGTTGACTCCAGGAAACCTACAGCCGTCTTTTTTCTTTTTCTTGGCAACCCGGAGCGACCTGGGAAAGCGAAGCCGAGGGCGCAGATTCCCGGGCGCGGATCCTGCCAAGCCGGCCGGGGACTTCCCTGGCTCGAAAGCCGCATTCCTGGCTCAACTTTCCAAGAACCGCAACGCGCGACCCGCGAGGCCCTTTCCAGGACAGGAGGGGATAAACCACGGCGCGGCCACGGCCGACACGCGACACCCCAAGCGTTCACACAACACGCTAAACTCGGGAGCGGGAGCATTCGTTTGTGGGGAGAGGGGCTTTGCTTTTGCGGGCGGGAGGAGGGGAAAGGAGAAACCCAGCCCAACTGGCGATCTATGGATCGCCATCCCCCTGGGGACACCCCCCTCCAAAAGGGTTAGTTAGTAGTCAGGATTAGCCGGTTGTGGAAACGCAGCTTAATGCCGGGTGAAGAGCGGAGGAGGCGTCTGTACGCTTTTCTCCCTTTCCCCCTTCAAATTTGCACAGTAATAGAGCAAGTGCATCGTTGCGCTGGGCTTTCCGAAGATCGAGAGCCCCACTCAGGTCTAGCAGCATGAAAAGGCTTAGTCCCGGGACCGGAGGCGATTCCTGCGTGGAGAGGGACGCCCCCTCCCAATCTCCTCTGCTTGCAAGGCGAGGCCCCCTCCCCATACTCACCGATCTCGCCCAGCAAAGAGCCACCGGCGGTCGCCGGCTCCATGGCTCCGTAAACGCAGACTACAAACCCCAGCAGGCCAGACAGTCAGGAATCGCGGGACATCCCAGGCGCTGCCCGCAAGGGCTGCCGGGAGTTGTAGTTCTCCGGCCTGGCTGCCTGGTTGTTGGCTCTGATGCTGATGCTTGCAGATGTTTTCCCGTCCTTTGCAACCTTCGCTCCGAGGATTCCGTCCCCACGTCCCTTTCTTGACACGTGGGATGTTGCAGCTCGGTGCTTGAATTCATGGCATCACAATTGGCTGGAGGGAGGGGTTGCTTCCTGACGCCCCCATCACCCCAAACTCTGAAAAACATCACGGGACGAACTGCGCATCCCGACTAGGCACCCGAAAATTTGCCTTTTGAGCTTTCTTAAGACTTCTGCCTTATTTCAGGGGTTCCACACGTGGCCCGACCTGTAATGAGTGCTAGTGGGCTATGATTTGTCTGTATGTTATGTATTTAATGGTAATATTTATTTGTACAATGCATTTTTATTTATTGGCAACATTGATTTATTCATTGGTAAGAGGCCTGTATGCATTTGTAAAATTTATTTATTGGCATGATTGATTGATTTGCAAAATCTATGAGTTAGCCCATTTTATAAATAAATATTACCCATACATACGTTTCGCAAATAATTAAATTTCACAAACAAATGCATACATTTTACAAATAAATTAATTTTGCGAATAAACGAATACCTTTTACCAATAAATCATTATTACCAATAAATACATTTATGCATAAAGGTTGCAAACAAATCAATTTTGCAAATAAAGAAATACATTTTACAAAGGTAACGCATGCGTACATTTCACAAATCTCATAGATAAACTTTACAAATATAGTCTACCAACAAACTTTGCAAATAAATAAAATGCATTTTACAAATAAGTAAATTTTACAAATAAAACCACGTTTTACAAATAAAGGCCTGCTTGCTTTGTTTCGTCGTCATGACACCTGAAATTTAGCAATTTTTATAAAAGCTCCCCTGACATTAAAATGGTCACAAAGCAATTTGTGACATAATGTAAGATGTCATAAACAATGTCCTCTGTTCAACTTGATCAACCACTTGGAGGTTTGGCTGCTTCTGGAACAGACATCTCTGAATTATCTCTCTGAATTTGAAGCTCTGCCTTTGTCGGATGGATGGAGGAATCTGGTAAGGAAAATAGTTTTAAAACCACGACCCGGGAAGTCATTGGTTGTCTAATTAAAAATAAAAGGGAAAAAGTGGATTTTGGGGGAAAAACTACATTCAGGAAGGGGTATTCAGTTAGAAATTTGTATGCGCCAAATAGGAATTTTGTTGTGGAATTTTGCCCCGTTTTACGAATTATTCTCTTGCCACAGTTGTTAAATGAAGCACTGCATTGATAACTTAGTAACACGGTCGTTAAATGAATACAGCTTCCCCATGGAAGTTGCTTGACAGGAGGTCGCAAAAGGGGGATCACAGGTCCTCAGGACGCTGCGACCGTCATAAATACGAATCAGTTGCCAAGCGTCTGAAATTTTGATCACGTGACCCTGGGGATGCTGGAATGGTGATAAGGGTGCGAAACGAACACAAGTCATTTTTTTCAGATGTCAATTCGGATGGTCACTAAACAAAACCTTGTAAATCAAGGACTACCTGTATATATTTCCAGTTCCCCTTAGAATCCTGGGATTTCCTAGTGGTCTCCCATCCGTACTTATTCTGTTTTCCCCTACTTAGCTTCTTTTTTTTTTCATTAGCTAAGATCTGTTATGTGTTGCTTGGGTGGATGGGGGGGGCTTGGGGGTGTCCTGGCTCTCAAATTTGGGGCATATCTTTTTTTGGGGTGGGGTCTGTCGAAACCTTGGTCACTAAGCAACTCGTCATAAGTCGAGGAGCACCTCCACTAAGAATCTGAGGTATGTTTATAAAACTGCTCAGCTAGGGAACCCGAGGAAGGCTTCGAGGAACTCATTACGAAAGTAAAAGTAAAAAAAAAATGGAAAGTGAGTTAAAAAAAAACCCGGCTTAATATAAAAAGAGAACCGCAGTGAGGACAACTTTCACTCTTACGAATTTTCCTGTTGGAGAAAATGGTCTGAAGCTTTTATTTATTTATTTATCGGAAGTGGGGAGGGAGGCAAGGACAGCTTTTTTTAAAAAAAAAAAAAAGAAGAAGAAGAAGAAGGGAATGCCGGAAAAATAAAAAGGAGGATCGTTCAAGGCAAAGAAAAGGAAATCGGGAAGGAATTGAACAAATAAAAATGAATATTTTGGGGCCCGCAAACCAAGATCGGAATATTCAGGGCGGTTGATGAAAGAAGAGAAGAAAAAAAAACAGCTAAGGAAAAGAGAAACAGCCTCGGAGAGGTGACATGGATTTTGCCGGAAAAGCTGAGCCAGGGATGCTCTCTGGATTTGGTGGTCTTCTTGCAGACGTTTCATGACCCAACTAGGGAACGTCATCAGTGCTGGAAGGGAGGGGGATTGTATAACCAGAAAGCAAACGAGTGATGGAGCACCAGGAGGCAAGCTGCTCCACCTCTCTCTCTTATCTATCTCTGTCTGTCATATATATCTTATCTAATCTGCCTCATAGAATCATAGCAAAGTAGAGACCTAGGGCTGGAAGGGACCATGGAGGTCATCTAGTCCAACCCCCTGCTCAGTTAAGAGACCCTATACCATTCTGGACAAATGACTGTCCAATCGCTTCTTGAAAGCTTCCAATGGTGGAGCATCCACAACTTCTAGAGGCCGGGTCTTCCACCCTTCCCTTCCCTTCCCTTCCCTCCCTCCCCTATCATCTATGTATCTATCTATATATGTATCCATCCATCTACCCACACACACATCGATCTGGTCTATTAATCCATCCACTCATCCATGCATCCACCAATCCATCCATTATCTATCTATCCACCTACCTACCTACCTATCCACCCACACTCTTCCATCTGATCTATCTATACACTAATCCATCCATCCACTTTCCCCCCACACACGCACTCATCCATCCATCCACCTATCCAATATATCTTAAATATCTAATAGAATCGTAGAGACCTAGGGCTGGAAGGGACCTTGGAGATCATCTATTCCAACCCCCCCCCCCCGCTTGCTCAAGCAGGAGACCCTGTATCATTTCAAACAAACGGCTGTCCAATCTCTCCTAAGAACCTCCAGCGGTGGAGTGCTCACAACCCACAACTCTCTCTCTCTCTCTCTCTCTCTCTCTCTCTCTGTTTTTTTCTCTCTCCCCAAGCCCCGGGACTGTGCAGGGCCGCCCCTCCCCTTCTCTAAAGAAAGCAGGGGAGGGAGGGAGGGAGGAAGAAAGAAAGAAAGGAGGAAGGAAGAAAAGAAAGAAAGAAAGAAAGAAAAAGAAAGGAGGGAGAAAGTAAGGAAGGAAGAAAGGAAGAAGGAAGGAAGGGGAAGAAAGAAAGAAAAAGAGAAAGAAAGAAAAAGAAAGGAAGGAAGAAAAAAAGAAAGAAAAAAGGAGGGAGGAAGAAAGGAAAGAAGGAAGAAAGGAAGAAGGAAGGAAGGAAGGGAAAGGAAGGAAAAAGAAAGAAGAAAGAAAGAAAGAAAGGGAGGGAGGAAAGAAAGAGGGAGGGAGGGAGGGAGGAAGGGAAAAGAAAGAAAGAAAGAAAGAAAGAAAGAAAGAAAGAAAGAAAGAAAGAAAGAAAGAAAGAAAGAGGGAGGGTGGAAGGAAGAAAGGAAGAAGGAAGGCAGGGAAAGAAAGGAAGGAAGGGAAAGAAAGGAAGGAAGGGAAAAAAGAAAGAAAGAGAAAGAGGGAGGGAGGGCGGAAGAAAGGAAGAAGGAAGGAAGAGAAAGAAAGAAAGAAAAGAAAGAAAGAGAAAGGAAGGAAGGAAGGAAGAAAAAAAGAAAGAAAGGAGGGAGGAAGAAAGGAAAGAAGGAAGAAAGGAAGAAGGAAGGAAGAAAGAAAGAAAGAAAGAAAGAAAGAAAGAGAGGGAGGGAGGGAGGAAGAAAGAAAAAAAGAAAGAAAGAGGGAGGGAGGAAGAAAGGAAGAAAGAAAAAAGGAAGGAAGGAAGGAAAGGAAAAGAAAGAAAGAAAGAAAGAAAGAAAGAAAGAGGGTGGGTGGGTGGAAGGAAGAAAGGAAGAAGGAAAGAAGGAAAGAAGGAAAGAAGGAAGGGAAAGAAAGGAAGGAAGGAAGGGAGGGCGGAAGAAAGAAAGAAAGAAAGAAAGAAAGAAAGAAAAAGAAAGAAGCGGGGGTGGGAAGGCGGGGGGGGGCGGGCGAGTCCAACTGGCCGGAAGCTCAACCCGCCCCCCGCCCGGGGAGGCGGCGACCCCTTCCGGGTTAGTTTTCACTTTCTTTCTTTGGCTGCGGGCTCCCTCCGCCGTTTTCACTTCCTGGGGTTGCCTCCTCCTCCTCCTCCGCCGCCGCCGAGCGGGCCGACGTGTTCCCCGCGGGCTCCGCCGCCCGTCTGCCCGCCCGCCCACCCGCCCGCCGGGTCTGGGGGCGCCGCGGAGCTTGGGGAGGGGTCTCCGGCAGCCCCCCGCCCTGCCTGGAGGCGACTCGGCCCTCGAGACGGACAGACTGAGCCCGCCCGGGCTGCGCTTGGAGAGCCGGGAAGGGGGGGGTCTCCGCTGAAGCCCCCCCTCCGAAAAAAAAGGAGGGGAGTGGGCTGCCTGCGCCCCCTTTCCCCCCCCTCTTTCTTTCCCCTCCTTTGTGCTGCATCGCCTCGTGTCCCGGGTGCCAAGAGGGCTCCGGGGCTCGCTCGGCCACGCCGGCGGCGCGGAGCGGGCAGGAAACCCGGGTCGGCGCGTTCCGACGTGCGAGAAGGAAGGAGAAAGAGAGAGAGAGAGAAGCGGCTCTCCGGGTCCGCCGGCTCGCTTCCCGGCATGGCAGGGCCGGCGGGTCGGACAGCTGTCCCCGGTGAGTGTGCCAGGGCTGGGGAGGAGGGAAGGAAACACGTGTAAGCCGAGGAAGGGAAAGAAACACGTGTCAGCCGGGGCTTTCTTCTTGGTCCCCCTCCCGCGCCGCGCCGCGCTCAGGATCGCC